CCTCACTGCATGCGTTACAAGAGATCAAGTATATTGTACCTCAACTCATGCAATCTCCGTCTCTCCGGTTAGGACAGATCATACAGTTTTCTTAGCTGCACACACGATCACAGAGGCGGTTGCTAGCTAACTGACGGCGTAGAGTACTGGGTGCGAGGCAGGTCAATAACCGCCACATAACTTTGAAGACCACTTCTTGTTAGGCACTTTTTAATGGCGTAACTTATTCCGTTTGATATTCAGGGTGCTTAAGAATGGAAACCAGTTCCGGGTTGGTTCTTCTCGCCTGGATTTTACATATTCTGACTGTCTAGGCTGGACAATACATTGCAAATAGACAATCAGAGTATATAAAATTCACGCGGAAAAAACCAACCGAGAACTGGCTTCCATTTTTAAACAGCCAGATAAAACCTTCAGGAAGTGGCTTTATCACAAAATGGTGTTGGAAACCGAATAGTAAAGGTATCCTGGTATCTTTCATCTCATCCTTCACAGATCAAAAAAGCTCTCATCAAAAGCATATACCGAGCGGCTAAAAATGTGTGCACAGGAGAAGAGGAAAGGAATTGCTTCACTTGTCCCGAACAATAGCTATTCCCAGTGGCTACGAAACAGAAGGCACTCGGGCCAGACCAAAAGGTAGGGCTGTTATCCAAAATAATATCTCAAACCAAAGTAAGACCTCTTTCAAGCTATCTTTCATATTAAACGAAGTAAGTTACGCCATTAACAGCTGCCTAAGAAAAGTGGTCTTGAAAGCTATGTGGCAGTTATTGCCCTACCTCCTCCCACCCACTACCCTATGCCGTCAGTTAGCTAGCAACCGCCTCTGTGATCGTGTGTGCAGCTAAGAAAACTGTGTGATCTGTCCTAACCGGAGAGACGGAGATTGCGTGAGTTCAGGTACAATATATTTGATCTCCTGTAACGCATGCGGTGAGGAATATATTGGGAAAACGTGTAGACCGCTTTGTGTTCGCATGAAAGAACATCTGGGTAGGAAAGTTAAAATCCGTCAAAGCACTCCTCTAATTATACATGGAGTACAAAAGCACAATGGCGATGATTTCGAAGTGAATATTCGGATCCCAGCGCAGGAATCAAAAACATCAACGAGCAAGATTCTTGAGACGTTTTGGATAAATTTCAAGAGTCCAAAAACAAACCGGAAAGGCGAATGCCTCCCCATCACGCGTGACCTGGCGCCCTATTTTAAACTGATTTTTTAACCTGGGCGGGTCTCGCTCGTCATCCTACGTGAGCAATGCGCGGACACTCTCACTCGTAACAGCATGGTGAGTGGTTTTTTGATCAATATGGCGTTTCTGTATATATTAGATCTACACTAATACTATAGATGTTTCAACGAATTATAAGGTTATCGTTACATGATATATGTCCAGGCTCTGAGGAAGGCGAAATCGCCGAAACATCAGCCATCGGACAACAACAGCAACAACGACATTATGTAGCAACCTCGCGCCAACTCAGGAAGGTCAGTTCATAGGAACGTGTAAATAAATCTGTCGATTATTTATCCTGAGGTTCATAGAAAGTTTGTGTTTTGAGTTATTAGAATAGGTTTTACTTCATACAGAATTTTTGGAAACTTGCAAAGATTTGTTCCATACAACAGTGCCTCTATAGAAGTACTATCCAATCAGTTGGTTGAGTTTCATCCAATGTCTTTGGTATGTGCGATAGAGTTATTTTTTAGAAGAGCTTATAGAACAAACTCCATAGATGCACTGGACGGTGACTACAAGTTCGTCGTTTTCTCTCTCAGCAGTCGCGAGGTTGCTAAACAGCATAGGTTTACTTCCATACAATAACACACATACAACACAACCGTAGCTGATGTTTCGGCAAAATCGCCTTCTTCAGAGCCTGCCAGGGTACACTAATACGCTACTTACTAAGTCAAGCGCTTCAACAGCACAAACAGAGAGATGAAAATCTGAGCGATAATTACAAGATCAACGGCTTCTCGAAAAATCCACTGCTTTTTCGCTGTCTTCCACCGAGGAAGAACAGCCGCTCAGAGTCGCATATGGTTGACGACCCCACATCAACGATCGATACGAAGATACGGGGCGAGATCACGCGTGATCTTAGGGCATTCCTCCCTTGATCTTGTAATTATCATGAAGATTCTCATCCTTCCGTTTGTGCTGTTGAAGCGTTTGGCCTAGTAAGCTGCGTATTAGTCTACTATTCCAGGCTCCGAAGAAGACGATATTGCCGAAACGTCAGCTACTGTTGCGTTATTGTATGGAAATGAACGTAAGCTGTTTAACAACCTCGCGATTGCTGAGAGAGAAAACGACGAGTTCATAATCTAATGCCGAGGTTAACAGATAGTCGATCCTGGGTTATTATAAAGTTCTATCATACGGTCTTTTTCAGAACAGTGAATGACCATGCGCGAGGTCATCCATTGATCTGAGGTTTTACCTCTTCAATTTTTCTTGTTATATCCATCATCCTCTATTTGTAAGAATGACATCGATTTCTGCAGAAGTACCGCTAGACGACGACTGTGTCCAGCGGTGATTATCGTTCTTTTCGAATAATGATTCTCACTTGGAAGAGGTATGCTGTGGATGGAAACATAACAGAACAGTTCCTGTTCTCATTTTCATACTGAAAATTTTGTGGTGTTGACACTCATTCTAATCTTCCATACGAAACGGATAATGCTGTGCTGATGAGATGATCTATTGTGATGCCGTTCATTACCCAAAATGTCCAACCTAACCAGGCACTGGTTTAGCCTCGTCCCAAGTCCATCTTGCCTCACACCACGTCTGGTCATGAAATTGATGTCAAAAACTTGTCTGAAACTGGCTCAATCCCACTAAGACACATGGGGACGCTCTAGCAAGGCTATCCCTGTATTCCAGGGAGAATCGACACGACCGACTTTCGTAACAAGGAACAAAATCCTCAAACAGCACCATAGCCTACATACAAAAGTTTTAACACCTTCGTAGATGGTGAATATGAGGAAAGAAGTCGATTGCGGGAAGTTCTGGGATCCGCAAAATGTCTGACATCGAGCTAGATGAAAAAAAACTTCTCCTTTTTCAGGTGGGGCCTCCGAGAAGAAATTTATGGAAGTTTTCCGTTAATTTGCTTCCATCAAAAGGTTGTTGCGCAACAATTATGATGCCGATCTTCATTTGAGGATAAAAGTGGAAGAGGACCAGGCAGCGAGGCGAAGTTGTAGTATTTGAAGCGAGTCGATATGTTGGATAAAGGATTGAATGAAATGATCGATAGTGCTTACCTTACCAATAAGGGTAGAGTGTTCGGTTCTGATCAAACCTTAAGAAATGCGTCATGTTTCCAACTTTACCGAACATCGCAGAGGACGCATACCTGACCTATACAAGGACTTGCGGTAGCCTAAAGATGTACGAGTTGTAAGGCACTACAGCGCCGCATAACACTTGCACTCTCACGAAATCTCTTCATGAATATTACGAGTCTCATTGTTTGCAATATATCGGTTTATCGCTCTTGATTTCAATCACGCGAAACTTGGATTGATCAACGTGTTTTAGAAGGGGACGGACGTCTGCTTTAGAATATTTTGGTACAATAGTTGGATACCATGTAGCACTTACCATGGCAACATATAATTTTCATTCATTTTCAATGGCATGCTATGCAACCGTAAACTTCATTGTTCCTTAACAGTTAGCCAGCCGTTTCCGCCATGAAATCGTAAAGTTCCTTTTTTTAAGATTCTAAGACGTTTTTAGGTTTTCGCAACATGAATTGTTTATTCACTGATGCTGAGATATTTGCAAAACTCCGGACCGCAGGTGCATGCGGTGGGGAACGAACGCACTATTGTCCTTTCAGGGGAGTAGCGCGTTCACCACCACACCATGCTGGTCCGTCGTTTCACCTGTCTTTCAGCTAGTTCTATCGATCTTTTGCCATCAGCAATCACCCGTCAGCGGGATTGATCTGGGGGGTCCAAATCGGCAGCGAACCCAGTTAAGCTGAGGCTGCAGTATAATCACAATTCTAACTTATTATTTACTGCCTACTCTTTTTAACGGCAGGGTATACATTGCGAAATATAACTTCAATGATGATGCTAAGATATATATAACGATATATAATGATATAGACAACGGGTGACTGCTGATAACAAAAAATCGATAGAACTAGCTGAGAGAGGCGAAACGACGGACCTGCATGGTGTGGTGGTGAACGCGTTACTCTCCGGAAAGGACAATAGCGCGTTCGTTCCCCACTGCAGACACCTGCGGTCCAGAGTTTTGCAAATATTTCAGCATCATTAAAGTTATAAATCTCAATATCCATGCCATTAAGAAGATTAGGCAGTAAATAATAAGTTAAAATTGAATTATCAATCCCTCTGACGGGTGATTGCTGTGGCAAAGAGCGATAGAAATAGCTGAGAGACAGGCAAAACAAAGGACCCTCATGGTGTGGTAGTGAACGCGTTACTCCCCGGAAGGGACAATAGCGCGTTCGTTCCCCACCATAGACACCTGCGGTCTAGAGTTTTGCAAATATCTCAGCAACGTTGTGGTTGCATTACGCTTAGTACCCTGCCGCGAAATTATAGTAGGCGGAAAATAAAAAGGTGTAACATTGAATTATCTCTATCTATATGGAAGCCAAGGTTCGCCAATTTGTGGCGAAGTTGACGTCAGGACACTATCGATTCTTGGTATTAGTTTCTATGTGCTAGGACTCTATGTAGAAGTGTCGAACCCGCCATAGACAACCCTACTGAAGGGGATCGCATTTCACTGTTCGGAACATACCTTCGATTGGGCAGTAAAGTGTCAGAGTGTTAAGGAATATTCAGGATTTCGTCAGATTCTCATCCTTATTTGTTCGCACTGTTTTGAATATTATGGCTCGTGGATTTTACACTTACCGCCATGCGATTTATAGTTATGAGGCTACATGAGACCTTTACCATTATTTGTTTTCAGTACTAATTCTCAATGGCAACGAGAGCTCTTCACTACGTTTTTAAGATTGGTGACAGGAGAGCGTCCTACGATTTCTTCACGAAAGTTCTACAGATGAAGGTAAATTCAGATCGGGAGATGGATCGATCCATTCTCGATCATTTCTTTTAAGTATTAGGAGGATTTATGACGACGACATAGGATTTCCAAGTAACAAACTAGTTTTCTAGGTGCTCCGTCATGAGGAGTTTGAAGAAGGATGCAAAGCAGAGTGTAATGGGTAAGTGTTTATAAGGAATTGTTTCCACATATACTTGATGTTGCTGAGAAGTTAGTTCTCTCTACAGGCCATATAATGGAAAATGGAGCAAAACAATGGTTGGCTATGGTAATGAAGATGAAAACTTTGTGATTGAGCTAACGTATAATTATGAGATCGGTTCTTATCGCCTTGGCAACGACTTGATGGTTGGTTGAATCACCATTTTCCGAGACTTAAAAGGTCTTGTTCTTAACTACTTTAAGGCCTTTATTTACAGGGAATTTTCATTGAATCGGATAATATATACAATGCTGTAGAGAAGCGTAGCGACGCAAAGAAGTTGCCATGTGGGAAAGTCCAAGTAAGAGTGCTGCTTTGATGTTTCCGTAACAAGTCAAATCTAGTTTACTACATACCTACGACTGGTCTGACAGTGCTTAATGTCATGACAAACAAGTGCTCCACTTGGTCATAATTCTAAAGATATTGAAAATGTCAAGCGGTCGCTTACAATAAGCATTTTATATCATTTAGCTCACAGATCCTGATGGTCACTGCTTCTTTATATGTCCTGGAGAAGGTCCTCCAAAACTCGTAAAGGTAGGCGTGAGAGTGAAGGACATCAAGAAAAGTGTTGGTGAATATTTTTTCGCGACTGTGATTCCAATATTTTGAAAGTTTCTCAGGTGTAAAAGTGATATTCAGAATACTGGACGAACCAACTAGGAATGAAGATTGTTGAAGAAAGCAGAAATGGGCGCACAACAATGCATTATGGAGAAGGACAAGCTCACTTTTTCTCAATTTTTAATTTCTCTTTTTGGTTTTGACCTGAGATAGTGTTTCGGCTAAAATGATTGAGTTGTAGTGCGCTATTGAGCCATCACAACTACCCGAGGGTACTCCACTCGATAGGGCTAGTGGGTATGGACGAATTGCATTTTCATATCCTGATGAGGAGGTGATTATTTTCCACTTCCCTTTAAATATTTGAGTTTCTCAACAATTCTTTTAGTTACTAGCATTACAAGAAAAAATCAAAGCAGCGAAACTCCCCATAGTTAAAGAGCTCGTCACGTTAGATACTCCTGGAAAGACCAGTGTACGGGTCATCATTCTTGCTGATCCAGTAAGTTACATGCAGTTCTAGTAAAATAATTTGGCGCCTTTATCAATAAAGTCCCTTCGTAAAACATTATAAGTGCTTTTTAGGACGAGCACGAGATTTGCTTCGTTGGAGATAAAGCCTATCGTGAGCTCAGCAAATTTGATCCAAATGCTGATGAATTCATTTGTAAAGAAATGGCTCAAGACAACAGCGCAAATTGGTTTAGAAATGGAAAACGGAGTGTTTAATTTATAAGATGGCATATGTTTTGTTCTCTCTTCATATGTTCTTTCTCTGCTTTTCAGCTTTTCATGGACATCAATTGTTGTGTGCAACGCTTTACTCTTGTAAATCCATTTCTCTGACATTCACGTTTAACATGAAAGAGCTTTCAAGACGGTAAACGTGGAACAGACGTTAGATCTCTACGCTAGATCTCTATAAGTTGTTAGAAGCTTGCGCTCGTCCTCGGTCGCCATTTCAGTGGCGTATTTTGCTACATACGGACATGTGGGTCGTATTTTGAACTTGTTTTCTGCAGCATACTTGAAACCTTCCTGTAATGGGATAGAATGGGACAAATTTAGGTTAGAAATTCCGTTTAAACATATCGTTTAGTTGTCATATATTAGGTAACACATCTCAGCACCTTAAAATTCGAAATCCTTGTCATTCCATTATGTACGCATATGTCTATGCTGGTAAAGAATTATTGACACCAGCTGAAGATTGTACTCATACAATGGAAAAATGATAATTGTTAAGCACTTTAACAAGCATTCTGGCCACTCCTTTTCCTTGTTGATCAGGCGGGGTTTCCGTATGCACAAAGTCTAATATCCTACCAGGGAGTTCATCGTAGCAAAGTTTGGCTGCACTTCCGTTACCTAAATGTGGAAATTCTTTATAATTGCCATGTCACAATCTGTACGGGAATTCAAACTCATCATCCACATTGAAGAAACAGTTGTGTTCAACCATTTTCTGCCAGAGAATGATACCATAGTTAGGGACTTGCTTGGATACTTGGATTGCCCGTCTTCACTGGTTGTATGGACCTGAGCAAAATCTCCATTCCTTGCTCTCGTCTTGCTGGTTTAACCGCCGTGGTTCCCTTGAGCTCCGTGGTCGGCCTAGCCACTGTATGCCCCAGGTCGTCACCACTCTTGTGGATCATAGTGAGATTTGCCACCACGCTAGTTCTATACCAGGATGATAGTGGATCTCGGTTTTGGTTCACTCTTAGCTGGGCTTTCCTGATGGAAATGCTGAAGTTAGACTTACCGAAATTTATTAGAAACTCCATGGATTTCTTACAGTGTTGTATACGTAAGGCCATCTATCTAAATATAGTTCCTCGCTTTTCAAGAAAGCACCAAGAATGTATCGAAGAATTGTGTTCGAAATAATGGTTTTGCCTTAAATAACCAGACTGTAACTACAACGTCTTTCGTATATTTATTAACTCTAGCTGCAAATTTACAACGATCACAATTTCACGAACGACTGCAATGCTTCAGTGATAATGAAACAGGAACATATATGGATAGCCAAATGCTTTTTCGATTACTTCTGAAAGGAGTACTATTTGGCGATTACAACCTATTCAGAATATTTCAGTACTTGGTGAGAAAATACCTACCATCATCACATTTTTATAGACTAGATCTATGAAAAGAACTGAGTTTGCTGTACAACTATACAACTCATCGAAATAGGGTGATGGAGAGAAACACATGGATATTGTTTCTCAAGTGGTAGCAGTATTCACGAAGAAGCCCACTGAATAATAGACAGCCAACATACCTTTCCATCGAGTTATATCAATACAGAAAGAAAGCATTAAGTGCATAACAAGTTCAGTTCTATAAGCAAAGATAAGTAGAAACCAAGGTTTCACGAAGAAATTCGGAATGAGAACGAGGAAAAAGGATGGTGCTCACTATAAAACACCATCTGCCAAGAAATACTGTTGGCGACTAGCTAGTTCAAACCATTAATATTCAGTAAAATTTGGCCAAATAATTTCTCCCCTGGATCGACAAGAAATGGACAAATAAACGAGTATAGCAAACACTGATGAATTAGTTAGAGAGCACCGGAAGTTCGGCATCCACTTCCCAAATGATTAGATGCGACATATCCCGAACCCGAACACCTTCGGTTGTAACTGGTGGTTCATTCTCTTCTCCTAAACTGTTAGCTATTTCTTTGTTAAAAATATCCGAAAATATTGACTATACCTATCCGAAAGTCGATATATCCGTCTCCTCCCGAAAGGACAAGCATTTTTCGCAATTCTGCACCTTCACCAACCTCAACATTACGTGGGGCTCCTAAATTGTATAAATCTACGTATGAACTGGAGAACGAGTTTTGATAATTTATGGCAACAGTGATAAAAGAAATCTTAAACAGAAAAAATTAAAGTAAACAAAATTGGAAAACAACGAAGCAAATGAAATTTAAAAAAAAGGAAAAAAGATAAAATATTGGCCTGGTACGGCGATGAAGAATTTCACACTGTCCTTATGACCATGGAATGAAAGTTGAGCTTGCGTTAGGTTACAGTATGGAATAAAAGCACCGCCTTCAGATCCGATATCGGACGTATTCTAGAATCAAGCTCTTTTTAAAACTATTTCAACCAAACCAATTAGAAACAGTACTCCTTGAGTCAACAAAATGCACATCTACCTCCGCCGTGTCCTTATTTAAATTCGAATAAACCCGTACTAATCCACCAGGACCATTAAATGCTTTTTTCGTGTCGCAAGTCTCTACTTTTTGCTCTATACCTGAAAAGATTATGAAAACGTTGTCCATTATGTTATTAATAAGTAACAAGGATTGGAATTTATAGAAACGTACTGTCGCTTAAAGGTACTGAAATCACGACCCCTGTACCAGTACCGATCCACAGCCGACGATTCGAAACAAGAAGAGCAGTTGTGCGCATGTATGAAAAGTCGAGCCGAGAAGTTCCTATGATAATACCGGTCAGCAAATAAATGGAATCTCAAAAATAAGTTTCACGAAATGAGCCATACATAATATTCAACCACCTACCAAGCATTTTTGTGACATATGGTTCAATATCAACATCTTGAAGATGTTCATACGTATGTGCATGATAGAGACGAAGTGTTGAATCGAGTCGAATGGACAACCAAACGCCAGCACCTACCCATTGCACCGCCCGCACTTGGCTGTCCCGTCGAGGATGTGCGGCGAAAACTTTCTGAAATCCAGAACGGGAAAACACACTGCAATATTCAACAAAAATTTTTCTAGTGATTTCCGAATTCTTTAAAATATATCACAACAGGCTACGTGTGGCACAATGTTCGGAGGCACTCTGCAATACACATGGTGTCGATCGCCGCGCCCCTGGCCCACCATGCCCTCATTCTTCCGAGGTTGCCAAATAGGTAGCAGACTTCTCTGGAAGGAGAGCAGCAGTGACCCGATACGTCGGCAGGTCACCTCGAGTCATTGTAAAGGCCAGGTATGCATTCAATCACCTCCAAAAGATGCTTAACGAAGTCGAACGCATGGCGCATGCATAAGGCAATGGTCAACGCCGGCAGCTTTATCCTTTATGCTCTATACCACAACAGTGGATTTCGAATTTAACCCAAATTACAAGTGGTAGATGCAATGACAGACTGAACAATACGATGTGCAAACAGGTAGCAGCTTATAGAGAAACGGTACCATTAATCACCACTACAGTGTTTGGCTACAGCTTTGTCAACACTGTGACAAAGTTCGTCAACGTACCACTATTTGAAGGCTCTCTCCATCCAAAACTACGATACAGTTCTTGTAAGCGGCCCAGATGTTGTTCGCTACAACACAAATACATCGCACTGACGAAGTGGCTGGACCAATTCGAATAGTGTGGTAGCCGAAATCAGCCCAAGCTCCACCTAAAAAACCCACGCGTCTTAAACCCAATATTAAGTCACCAATTATTTAAGGACCTATAAAAATAGACCTTTCTCTCTATGAAACACGGCGAGTGTCCCGTTTGCAAGAGCCGCGAAGACGCGCCCTTTGTGGTGCCTGAACAGAGCAACATTATTCAAATACAAAAGATCTCACTCTTAAAACTAGTTGTAAAGAAATAACCTACATGATAGAAAGCACAGCATCCGACATCTTAATACGCCGGAGACATCGCCGCCAAGACGTTACAGCCGAATGTATATAAACGCTGGAATCAATAATCCAAACGAAGACGATCTAACTATTGAGAATATTCTCATTTTAGAGAAAAGTAAATAACTAACTATTGATTTTGACTGCCCAACCACACTGTGGGCCATCCAGTTGAGACTTCGTCAACATTGCTGTTATATTTATCCAATGCATCACGAATATGTTGTGGCAACGAAGCCCGTCCACTACAGCTACTTGGTGCACACTGAGGTTGAACTAAACGAATCTACATCAGACAGGAAAGTAAAGGAAAAAAGCCTAACAAAAGCACATCCAATAACATTGACTGGATTCTTCGTATACTCGGTATAGGCCTCTAGACTTCACAGTTACCCAGCGATTCAGCATTGCAAATCAGAATTTCTCTACATTCAAGAGATCCAACTAGATGAAGGAGCGAGAACTTTTAACTGCTAATCTTTTTTCCAAAATTTCATTCAGATATGACATGCCAAAATTTGTGCTATGTGTGGAAACATCACTTAAAATATTCCTGAAAGCCTTCACAGAGTATATCGAAGGCGTCAGTGGATAAGCCAATGCTTCCTTTGAACTTAATTAATGAAACATGCAAGTGCTAAAGGCCTTAAAAGCGAACGTTTACTTGCAGGCAACCAATGAACAGAACCGAAAAAGAACGGTTTAGGGTAACCACGAAACGCGACACAAGACCTATGCTCCACCTTTTTCTTTTGATTTTTCGAGCAGAATCAATGTGCAGGTTTCTGATAAATCTGACTTTGGAGCAGTTTCTTCCTCAGATATCTCCACTACTTTTTCCATCTCAGCGGAATCCACTATAATCGACATTTGCAAAGAGACTACACTCACGAAGTGATTCGTTAATAACAAGATTGACAAAACAGAACCAAGAAATACAAGTAACGACACCAACACACCTCCAGGCGATTTGATAACAGCTTCAGTGTTGCTAACGCTGACTGAAAAAAAGTGGGAGGAAAATGAGGAACACTAAGAAAAGAGGCTAATACAACCCATTATTACAGAGCAAGTCCAGAAAATAAAGTTTGAGTAGTTACCAGGTAAATGCTTTACTTTTCATTTACACAGAAACTGTTTATGGTGAACCACATACAGTTACCAAATAAGAAAAAGTCTAAGAAAGAACTAAAAGTAACATACAGTCTCGAGTTCTCTTTGGACTAGGACGCATTTCATTACTGCAATAAGTGGGCACACCATCTTCAGAATCGTCCATCTTCCGTAATTCCATCCATTCACATGCGCCCAATTCAGAAAACTCAATTCCTTAAAAAAAGATTTTTAGGCTTGTAGAAATGGAATGAATACCATTACGATACCATCTGGTAGATCCTTGACTTTTCCTCCACCACAGATAAAGGCTTTCGCACCGGCTTCATCCAAAATTGGATCACCTTCGCAAATCCCTAAAGTCTCCAACATAAACCAACAAAAACAGTGCTCATTTCTTTCAATGTATTTTCTTTCCAATTCCTTGCTTTGCCTCTAAGATCTATACTGTACCAATTTTCGCCTAACATATTCACGCTAACGAGTTAGCTTCTCACAACAGATGTTATGCCGAACTTGGTCTGAGGAAAACTGCTTCTAACACTTCAAAAAAAATGGTTTAGCACAACAATTTGTTCATACCATGACACTGGTGCTAGTGGATAGGGACCACAACATCCCACATAGCTGCATATCAAAGATCCTATACCACCTTCATACGCTTCATTAAGGTGAATTTACAGTGTATCTTTGGAAGCAAAGCAGGCTTTTAGCACCTATTTTCAAAATCTGTCACTGTTGCTGCAAAAAAAAACGATGTTGTAAAAACGTTTATTGAACAAACATAAGGATACTGCGACATGAGCAAAACATAGATCCCCAGCTGGGCTTCGAACCCGAGATCACCGTTACCGGGGGTGATGTGCTATCCACTACGCCAACCAATGCCTTTGCTCTGCCTTTCTCTCGGCCTCCTTTTTACTCTATTAATGTTATCAGCAATCACACATAAGAAAAGAAAAATAATAGGCAGTAAATAAAGGTTAACACATCATCTATTGAATAAACCAAATTCTTTACAAACAACATCTCTAGAATCTGCATTTTTAACATAGAATAGAACCTATATTTCTTATATAGACGATATTCCTTGAATGTAAACCGCATTTTTTGAGTACATTTTACACTTCTCACACTAATTCACAGTTTCATGGTCAATATTTTGGAACAAACCAAAGGAAAAAATTTTCTGTATTGTCTCCATTTAATGGTAGGAAAAGCAGTGAAAGTGTTGAAATATATGCGTAAAATAAAAACAAGCGCTATGTAGCTTGTTACTGGCGCAACGACGCTAGTAATGTGCCAACGAAGCACAAAGTGCTAAATAATTTCAACTCGAAAGCATAATGTTTTTACGACTAGCAAATGGTACAGACAAATTCCGAAAGAGGTGATGGAGGCTACGACTTTGAAACCCTAATAAGCAATATTAACAATGTAGCACTTTTTATTTACTGCCTAGCCTTTTTTAATGGCAGGGTATTGTGTGAAATAGAAGCATAATGATGCTGAGATATTTGCAACACGCCGGACCTTAGGCGTCTGGGGTGGGGCGGAACACGCTATTACCCTTCCCGGGGACTAAAGTGTTCACCACCACAATATGCGGGCCCCTCGTTTCGCCTTTCTCTCAGCCATGTTATTGACTTAGACGTGCTATAAGCAATCGCACGTCAATGGGATTGATCTAGGCAGCAAATATATGGATTGAATCCTGTTAAGCTGAAGCTGTGGCATAAATCACAATGTAGTACTTTTATTTACTACCTACTTTTTTTTAACGAAAGGGTATTATATGAAATATAACCATTATTATGTTGATATAAATATTAACAATGTTTAAAAAAAACAATGTACAAACGCATATGCCTCGCCGACTCACCGGGAACACCTCGGATGCAAAGAAGGTGACTTTCACAGGCAGTGAATGTCTCAATGACATTCTTTGGATTGTTGACGTCAAGAACTGCTACTGTACTCTTTCCTTGATTTGAACTGCCCACCCAAACTATAGACGACGTCTCCCATTCCGCCAGCTCACTCTCTCGAGCATCCAGAGCATGAGCACGCTTAGAATAACATTTATTGTGCCGTCAACAATAAACGAGCAGAAAGTAATATAAGACAAGCAGCTGTAACGTACTGTAACTTCACTTTCAAGTTCGTCACCACATCCGCTTTGTCTGGGAATTTTCGCAACGTTAGGAGACAGATAAACAGGATTTCCAGTGATAAACTTCCCATCGTTATCGAGACCTCCATGCAGAGTTACAGAAGCTGCACACCATACCTTGAGAATGTTCACTTGAAAATATTGCCAGCGATGTAAAAAGGACTACTATCCAATTTCTTAAAAAGCATGATTAACACAATACTTTGATTGATGGCTGATTTTCCATAAGCGGTCGACAACACACGGGAACTGGCACCATGGCAGATGAATTCGAGTTGTCGAACAAAGCAGGTAAAGACCAACCATACGCCTAGAAATTTAGGAGTGTTACTGTACCCTATGTGGGAAGCAGAATAACGGGTCCGATGCTGTTTCGAAATCTAAATGGCCCAAACTAAACCATTTTAATAAGGACCGTGAAATATGAATATGTGCGGCCTCTCGAAAACAAAAGCAGTTCACGCTTCTCTTCGAATGAACAACTAACCACTAAAATACATATTCATTTCATTTTCTGTTCTATTTCATCTGCAATTTTTCTGGTTAACGATGATGTGTTTAACAATTTGTAACAGTTTCTGATGTTCCTATTACCTAAAACGTGTTGAAATTACGAACAAAATCACTTTAAAGTCAGCTTTTCTGTAAGGGAACAAACGTGCCGACGGAAACAGTTAAACCCGAGAACGGTGCTTCGAAGGGCAATAAAGAGCCGATTTAACGATCCGTACATGGTTGAGAAGTCTTGAGTTCGGTATCAATCAGTTGTAGACAAAGGTCAAAATGAACAACATTTAACGCTGTCATAACACTTTTATGGAAATTTTGATCAGACCACTTCATGAAGGCCGTCGAAGAGACTTAAAACGAAGCTCGAAAACTGATTGCTCCAGAAAATAATGGATGCACAAGTGCTGCGTCAAATAGATACCGCTAATTCCATTCCTTCACAGAACTCTGTGTTTTTGGCTAGTCGATCTGCTACTTGTCACCTGTATCAGACCCGTTGATGGTCAAGTGACTCAAGAGTAATTCTACTTTTCGCTGTTGCGTGCACGAGTAGCCCGGTGGGTTCTGCTGGCTCTAGGGTCTCGCTGAGCATCATACCTTTCCTCCGGGCTTTTCGTGAAGAACTCTGACCATCGGGTCGGTGGTCTTCCTATTGTCTGTTTCGTATCCCGAAGAATCCAGTCAGTAACGGCTCTAGTCCATCGGTTGTCGTTTATAACGCATTACGTGTTCAGCACACCCTATCATCTAGAATTATGTGTGTTGAACACAACTAATTGTCACATAGCCGAACTGTCATAGAAGATGAAAAATGGACTAATTACGACAACTATATACTCGGTGTTTAACATGTAGTCAGTCTCAGAATACTGCTAGGAAATAGGTCAAATAAGGAAGACCATGATCACTGTCTGATGGTCAACACCGGGTGTGGTGCTTTTCCTCCTTCATCCACTTTGAAGACTGCGGATGAAATCGAAGGAAATTCGAAACTGGTAGATACTGTATAAGTCAAAATGTGAAACCCTGTTCTTCGATCTTGTCCAAATTGATTGTCACTGTCTAAACATCTAGACTACCTACCTTGAGATGTAGTATTCATGGATCAATACGACCTCAAAATTTCTTCCAAGACTTCATCAACTTTAGAACTTCAAAGTTCTATGAGAATAGAATCGCCCAAAAAAATATGACAAACAAGAAATCCGCTGAGTAACATATGACCGTATGAAATAGTATTAATGCACACTTGGTTTCGCAGAATATACCGTATGCATTGATCTCAACGTACTCTGTTCCCGAATTTATTATGCCGTAAAAAGCTTATTTTGTATATCTTTGCATTCAATCGATATCCAACATAAATTTTTGGAACAGATATAGTCTGTAGAAAGCTATTCTCCACACTTAACAATTGGTAGACTTTCCGGACAGATTTCTCAATGCATGCAATGCGTAGCGAAAAAAAACTGGACACAGTTCCAAGTAGTTAGCACTCAAAATTAGGCGCAGTTCCCTATGTACTAATCATGCCGAGTACACTTGTACTTATTTTAAAGAACAATTTCAGATTAATTTGTTGTGTCCAACAATGGCTTACAAAAGCGGCCTCTCCAAACCATTTAATATTCACGGAGAGACCAATAATTAATGAAGGAATGACCTTAACGTCAAGTTTAGTTATAAGCGAACAAGAATTCCAAATGATGAACGGGGAACTTAACAATAATGACAAACTAAGAGTTTCATCGATTTGTTCGTAAATGATGAAATTACTCCTACGAAGTTTCGCAAGTTTTACAAAGTTCCTTAATCGATTATGTGGACTACGGTTCACGTGCTTTATGTAAATAAATAAATAAACAAATAATCCGACAGGGATTCTAATGCACAGAAGACATCGAAGTCGTGTCCAAGACCACAGAATTCTATCGGGAGTGCTACCTGCTCGTTGTTTTTATCTTTGTCGACTATGAAAAGGAGTATCGAGGCGTCAGAACAAATACAACCCTATCAGTGCTAGCCGACCTAGGAATTGATCCGTAAAATACAAGAACTCTAGCCAACTGTTGTTGTACACCTCAAAAATACTGCCTTTCAGTCGACTTCTTACTACTCTAGTAGGGAAAGGAGAGGAACAAGGTGACACTACCTCGCCAATTTTGTTTAGTGCCAAGTTGAGGTTGACGATGAAGTCACTTGACTGTAACGAGGACGTACTCATCGATTGTAAATTCGAGTCAAATCTTCATGTTGTTGACGACGTTATCACTCGACGAAGTAGAATAAATGGCACGACTGCAGATTAAGCGGAACTAGACATAGCCCATGAAAAATCCATGGTGCAAAGGTGACCAATCTGAACTGGTGGCCCTTTGAATACATAGACCACCTCGTATGTGTACTTTGGGCGTTCAATGAACATGGAGAACACGATAGAGATATAGATACTAAAAAGAAAAAAGACAGCAGCGTGGGACGCGTTGGAGGCTCTCACGGGACCCGCTGACTGCCTAACTGATCCAAAACTTCGCGCTAACCCTTTTGATAATAAGTCGCTCCCATCGCTCCTTAAGCATCACAGAAGTGGTTCGATGTTTAAACAACGTTGAAAATCCTGGGCCTTACTCACAGTGTCATCGAACTACTTCTTCTGAAACTTAACATTTTGGAGCCTAAATCATCGAATCAGAAACCCTATCCCATCTTCAAGATCCAGAGAATACATGTCGGTAGCAAAACATAGATGAGTGGGTCTATGATGATGAAAGCAGGGGACAAATGAACGAAAAGTACTATAAAGTGGACCCCAAGAAGATCCCAGGTGTTTTTCAGAATGGTTTGGACAGAACTGTTTGTAGTTCACATCAACCACCTGCATTTGCAGATAGAAACGATCTACGGATTGTGAGACATCCGACCATTTTTCTAAGCACAACACCACTAAAGACGACTGCACGAGAAAGACGTGAGTGGAAGATATGATATGTTGCGTCCGTCCTACTCGTTTAGAGTGGCCTACCAAATACCTAGGTATATATAAACTGAACTAAACGTTAAGAGAAAAACTGAAAGCCAAGCAATATTTGAAAAGCCCCTACATTTGTCAGCGTGGCAAGCATGTACATGAGAACTCAACAACGGAATTCATTTTACGCCAAATCTTTCTATGAAAGATACTTTACAATCATGACATCGATATAAGGATTTCAAAACGTTGACTCAACGAATAGCTGTTTACTTTACCTCTATACGGCCGCTGTTGTCCCGTTTCACGTGCTCACGTACAAGTTTGTACTGTTCCCTTCGTTCAGCGGCACGCCTTTCAGATATCCTGAATCCTTGCATTGGAAGGAGTACGCAAGCAAATAATGACCCATTCATATGTCTAGTACTTATTCCTAACGTGTAAGCTTCTTCCCACTCTAAAAGAGGCATAGCCTAGCCATTAGTATTGAACGCTGCTTGGAAGGAAACCATCCGCGCAACAAATGAAGCTGAACAAGTGGTGGTTTCTCAAGCTATGCATCAATACTTTACTTCGTAGACCAAAAAGCTCATAAAAGCAATTCAACCACTGAAGGTCAGCAAAAACACATTGTATTGCAGAACCTTTAACCACCTAATAGTGGGTTAATACGAGATTTTTCACAATAGAAATTACCAACGATGACTAGTTAGAGCTTAAAAACGTTGACAAATTGTGGCGAATAACGGAAAGAATGTGAGGAAGTGACAACTTAAGTCTAAAGTATGCAACTCCTCTCACATCTCACATGTAAACACCGCTAGAGATTGTTCTCCGAAACACGAAAAGAAAACTTTAGTATGGTGTTGCAAATGAACATACTGTACTATTTAAATTGAGCGTTTGATGTCTAGTCCAAACCACCACAAAGTTAATACAGAACTCGCCTTCGCTAGTCAACCTCAAACACGTGGCTAACAGCTACGTCGAAACTTAAGAAAAGATGGAGCTATCGATCTTCGTAAATTCTAAAGGCTACCAGTAACAGAATGAGTTTGTAACTATAGAACTGAACTTTGAAAGTTTAAAAGAAAAGTAGGCAAAATATATAGTAGTAAGTTCTGTCACCGGTGTAGTACAGCACCCGACTAATATCACAGATCAGATAAAATTGAGGTAAAACTTGAATACTAGTTCAGTGCAGACAAAAAAAGCGTGAAGAGCATACAACACAACACGACACTACATTGATAGTTTGACTTATTTCCCTACTGACATGTCAGGATCCAGATACTCCACACTGCGAGTCATCTGATTCTTCGCTCGCATATCTGAACGTAACCCAGATCGACGAGGCTGGCTTGGCGGGGAGGAATCTCCAAATAGTCCCGAGAAGCTGCAGTAAGAAACATACGTAAAGCGAAACTTCACAAGACATTCATTTAATACTCGAAAAACGACACCCACAAGTCCCAAATCCCTCCTTTCTTTGGAGAATTGGCTTGCGCCTGAAGTTTTCGAGCCCTCTGCATTTCGGTCCACTTGAGAGATTCTTCTAGCTCCATTAGTTTCTCCTTTGACAACAAAGTGATACATATGAGAGAGAAAGCAAAGGAAAAACATGTATCTAAACTAAGTTTATACTCAGTGGATCAACAAACCTTGTACATATTCCTATCAATAAGTACGCGCTGCATTTCCATACGTGTGAATCTCTTGCGCTGTGCTAACGGTACTTCTTCCTAAAAATATGAATTAAGCTAAATTATGACCTGGCTTTGTGCTAATGATTTTACCTCTTCAGCTTCAGCCTCTTTTTCAGCCAACTTTTGCTTGACAGATTTCAATTCTTCCTCTAACTTCGATATGGTGTCACTCATCTTCACACGGACCATCTCAAAGCTGTGGACTTCATCTCGAAGGATTGCATTTTCACTAAAACGATGAGGAAAAACCTGTAGTGTCAGTTAGAAAACGAAAAATCCATACATTCGACCATTCGACATATTGTCTCACCTGCTTAGCTCGTCAACTCTTGCAATCAGATCGTTCTTAACGATATTCAAAGCATTTTTCATATCAAGCAGCTCGTTATTTTCCTTTATAAGGTTCTCTACTTCTCTTCCCATCCCTGAATGACAATAAATAAAATAGTAATAAAAGAAGAAGCGAGAAAGACATTCACAGGTTTCAATAGTTATCAGTAACGGTAAGCAGTTCTTTAACCGCGGTACTTTTGTCACATGCATTGAATCCGATTCACATAGACATGAACTACACAGTACGTGGAAAATCTTCCGCGTAAGTGACGACACTGCACTCACGAAATGTTTTTTCAACCTTACCATTGTGCAATTCACATTACACAACAAAAACAGACCTATGAATGTGTCGTTCACTGAAAATGTAAATGTATTATTAAACGGGAGCATCCGAAAAAAAATCTTGAAAGATAAGCCAGTTGAAGTAAGATCGAAACGTGCAAAATATGAACACAAACACAAACAAAGCGACATGTTACTGAGACAGAACAAAAGTAGGCTTATTTTAAAGTTATTATAACTTATTTCATAACCATAATTTCAACAAAAAATGAATTATGAAAAAAGAGTGTAGAACATGCAGTTTTATTCAGAACTCGATATGAGCACCAGCATTGTGTACCAGCCTCCCAAGCCTATCGGGAACAACATCTACTGATTTTACCACGAGCTCTTGTGGAATGGAAGAACTCCTCGTAGTTGTCCGTCAACTTCTCCCAAAGCCGTTGGTTTGCAGAGCAGACTTTCTCCTTTAACCAAACTTTAAGAAAAAAAAACGCAGGATGTTACAACGGATTCTGGTTGGCTACTCACGCGAACCACAACGACTCATTCATTTATCAGGAAAGTGGGCATTCAACCATTCACGAACAGTAGAAAAAAGAACGCCATTTAAGCTCCTTCTATAGTACAGTTGATACGTAGTGAAAAGAGAGCCCAGTTTCCTTTGTCAAATTGACTTCTTTGGTCTATGAGTAAACACTTCGTGAAAAACTTGTACCATCTCCTCATCACTGGAGTTGAAAGGGCAGCCGTCATCCATTTCCATCAGGAAACCCAGCTAAGAGTAAACCAATACCACGATCCACCACCGTCCTTGTACCGAACTAGTCACATGGTGGCAAATCTCCTTCTGATCCACAAGAGCAGCGACTGCCTGTGATGGTGACGACCTAGGGCATACTTTGGTCTGGCTGACGTCGGCACTCCAGGGAGCCACAGTGGCTAAACCAGCAAAACTACAATATCAACGAAACGTTTTGAAAAGAGAACAAATTCCTTCTATCGCTTCTGCTTTACAACTTATTACACGATTTTCATAGGAAGATTCCTTCCTAATTTCACTGCAAGTTACTACTGATCTACACTGGTGGATTTGTTCAAAACTTACTACCATTCTACGCCAGAGTGTGGAGGTTGCGCACTAACCTCCGTTAAGAGTTTATTTTTAAATAATAGTTACAGGCCGAAATTAATACAAGGAAACATCTTTTAAACGAAAACTTTTCTTTCAATATCCATATTTCCTTGTCATAATCCATGTGCAAAAGGGTTGGTTTTTTAGTAGAGCAAACAGTCACTTGAAGACAAACTTCGTCTTAGCATAGTTAGATTCCAATGAAGTACACCTGTTGTGCCGACAAAATATTGGGCCTGATTCATTTCCATCACTGGAGTCCATTGGAGGAAGGGCCAAATAATCACAACAACCAGCAAACAAGCCAAACAGCTACACAAATTAATGCATTTTAAAAAGCATTCATTCCTTCATTCCAGAATTAATGACTGGCATCAGACTTGCACAGGTACGCAACACCACCAAAACAACAACCATTACCACATATACTTAGACCAGTGCCTACTGTGTGATCAGTTTATTCGAACAAAAGATGAAGGATATGCGTAGCACTACACACTAGCACGTCTAAACCATGCTACAACACAGAAAAAAGGCAACAATTACCCGCTGATGCAAAATCGGCCGGATCAACCAGATTTCCTGCATGTATAAATATAGAACTTGAAATTTATCTCCTCTATGAAACGCTCCTTATTTTCAACAACAATGGGTGAGGAAAAACTGTTGTGATAAAGTGCACGCAAACGAAATCATGAAATATGTCTGGATTCATAAACAGGAGACTACGATGTACTACACCGTACCGCGGTGAGATCAATGAGTAGCAAAACTATTTCTTGAAGATTTAAACGTTTGTCAGTACGATACCTAATACTTGCATAGTATTGAGATTTGTATGAAAATTCCCTAAGGTGAAAACTTACCAGTAAGATCTGCGCTAAGGGCATCGTCACCATCCAGCTGGTCATCGCCATCTCTGAAAAGAATAAGCCAACTAATTTAACCACAAAAAACGATGATAAATGTTAAAGCACGAGTAATGTAACCATTAAATGAATAAACACTGGGCGAAAAAAGATGGAAAAATATGTCAAAAAAATTATGGTACATCTTTCAACAGTTCCCAAGATCGAGCTTCTATTAACCTCAGCATTATTACTTGATGTAAAAGTCTCTATCCTCGCACGGGAGACTAAAGCATCAACGCGCAAATTTCTCGAGGTTTTTTGGATAAATGCCAAAGATCCGAGAATTAATAGCAAGGAAGAATGCCCTGAGATAACGCGTGATCCACTCCCGTATCTCAGAAGTGGTTTTTAATGTGGGGTGGTGCAGTAATCAACCATATGCGACCCTAAGCGGCTGTTCTCCCTTGGTGGAAGGCAGATAAAAAAACAGCGGGTTTTTCGAGAAGCCAATGATGGTGTAATTATTGTTCAGATTTTCACCTTTCTGTTTGCGTTGTTGAAGCGTTTGACCTAGTAAATCACATATTAGTGCACCCTTCCAGGCTCTGAAGAAGGCGATACTGCCGAAGCATCAGCTACCGTTGTGTTTTATGTGTTATATTTGTGAGGAAGTAAACGTGTGCTGAATAACAACCCCGTCATTGCTGTAAAAAAGAGAACAAAACAATTATGGTTTTCGGAAAAGTTCATAGATTCCCTTTATGGAGTTCACGTTACGAGCTGATACAGTTAAACGCGAAAAAAAAAGCAGTTATGCAGTTGGCAGCAGTGTTTCGGAAGATGGATGCACGAATCCCTTAACCCTTCCGCGGTTGTTTGCTGACATGCACTGACGTGCATGCATGTGTGGTGGTGTTTACGTATGTACAGATTGTATCCCGCAAGACGGTTTGGCAAAAATGTGGCTGGAAAGTGCAATTACGTTGATGCGACGCAGTTCGGATTCAACTCCAATAAATCCCATCCTTAAGCTAAGAGAAACTTGGAAGTCCACTCGCAAAAACATTAAAAATAAAGATTTCATTTGAAAAATCGCAGCATTTTTTGTGTTCCTTTTGCAAGAAAAGATCACCAGGCAGTTCTCGCGCAGAAGTGAATAGAGACCTTATTATTGCAACATCGGATCGTTTAAGGATTAAACAAAGCTCAGAGGGACATATAGGTGATCGCACGGAAGGAGACAATAACTATATTCTTACGAAGTGCTCTCAACTATTGATTTTGAAAGGTTTGTCATTTCATATAAATTCTCTATAGGTCGTATGACTTCTTGCGGTGAACGCTTTAAAACATCTCTACAGAACTAAACTATATTAACACAACGAGTCATAAGTTACGACCCTTCAGCTGTTTCTTCTGTTTCATAAACCTTTTTAGCGATACCTTCCGTATAAAACTGATAGCGCCTCTGTTACAGATGTACTGAACGTGACCTAAGACACGACAGTTCTACATGTTCTAATACAAGTAAACGCTTGTGTACGAGTTTGCTCATAACGCAGTAGGATTGTTGTTGGTAACCGCACTCTTATACATTAAACTGCCATCATTGATTGACAGAGCGCGTTTTTCGAATTGTTCATCGCTTTCCATTCAGCCACACAACCACTTCTGTGGGTATCAATTTGCACCTGTATCCACCTTTGATAGGGGCCCGTGTTGCGCAGTGGTCAGAGGCGCTCTACAGTACACATAGGATCGATCCTCCCCTCCAGGGCTTCTAAGCCCTCCATCCCTCTGGGATCGGCAAATTGGTACCAGACTTGTCTTGGAGGATAGCAACACTGGCCGATTCATCGGTAGGCCACCGCGAGTCATGGTAAAGGCCAGATATGAATTTAATCATCTCCAACGATGCTTAGTGAAGTCGAATGCTTGGCGCGTCCCTCAGGGATGGGTCAACGCCGAGAGCTCTATCTTCTTTTTAATCCGTCTTCATTGCACAATTTGAATAACTCATTCGCATACTTGTCCTTCTTGCAGAGTGCATCGAATCCTTCTATTTTTTCAATAGTTTTCCTTCTCCACTTATATTATACCCCAGAGTCTCTTTCACATCTGTTTCCCGATTATCTTCCATTAGCGGTTCATAAAATGCATCGGTTCCTTGCATCCGAATAAAGCAGTTGCTCCGGTCCAAAATGACTGTAATTGAAGCTCCGAGGCTCATGAGGGACCATACCGTTTGAGCACTCACCGCTGAAGTCGCCATCACCACGGCCTAGTCCTCCGATCTACGTTCTTCAGACTCCTCAAAGGGAAACACAACATAGGTAACACTATCCTTAGCAGTTTCACCTTAGACTGCTGTATGGAATTAGCGGAGCGCGGGTAGCACAGTAAATATATGTGCAACATACCGTCGTAGGTTAACCCTGCGCCTCGGGTAATCAAAACCCATCTACCGGAGTAGGTAATGTGCTATGGAACTTGTCTAGAAGAGCGCTAATATAATAATACTAGCCTGATACATCGCTAAAACCCTGTAACTTAATGTATATGCCAAATTCACATCCAGTACGATCTACTGCAAAAATTCTTGAGTCGATTACGAGGTTCACCCTTTAGGTGTTGATCAATGCTGAATGCCTCATTCTTGAGGGAATTTATGGATAGGAAGAACATTTAAGAACAGTGAAATATACTCAACATATGTTTCGAAAAGTCATACATGACTCACAGCGCGCATAGCGAAGGACTAAACGATTCCACGCTGGCGCCTAAATAAACTACGCGTGCTCGCAAAAACGCCCACATCTTCGTGTAAACTCATGAAGATCAATTACTAAGAAAACAGTAACTTGTTCGTTAATAGAGAGATAATTGAAAGTTGAAGTCAATAAAATTCTGAAATGCTAGAAATAAATCATACTCCTCGTGCCGCCCACTTTCCTTATTGTCTTCTGCTGTTTTGTCCACTGCTAGAACTGCTGTTGATTTATCCTCATCCAAGTTTACTTCACGCGGAGAAGGTTCGACATCAGATGGGAATTCATCTTGCCAATCTGCTAAATCACCGCCGTAAAACATGAAAATGGACAGAAACAATGACAGCTAATATTGTCGCCTTAAATAGTTAACCAAGGTTAACCACACCACCATATCACTCATAGCAAGCATTACTCAACCGGCAACAGGCTTGTAAAATCCTAAAGATGAAAACATAGAAAAAAACTGTGATCGCTGAAAATAACCTTCATTGCTGATATGATTAGCGAGATTTACATCCATTGTAGTACTTTGAGACATGTGAGCACTTATTAGATCTGAAACGCCTCGAATATTGGATGCATCCACTGAGGCGGCCATTCCCATTCTGCAATTAAATCCTAAGTCTTGAACAAAATATGATTGTAAATGCCGTTCCCCTCAAAAAGATTAAACATCATTCAGATCGAGCAACCACAAACATTCCCAAGGAAAAATTTCACTCCATTAATTAAGACAATTAGCAAAACCCGTAGCTTCCACTTAAGTACCTGGTTGTTGCGAAAACCAAGATCATTTTTATATCGCTACGTATCCTACAAATACGTTTCGCCACAAATCTTTATATCATTTCGAAACCAATTTGTAATATTTTTTGTAGAATTTGCTTTCTACCATTTAATATAAATATGTCAACTAAACAACAAGACTCTTGTCATTTGTCGGTAAAAGAACCCGTCACGAAATATCGGTGGCGTAGGTTTTGTCGTCCACACGCCTATTGTCCATCTGGTCACTTGAACGAGATCCTTTTCACTTACATGGCCGTCCTCCGTCTTCAAGCAACGCGTCATAAGATTATTATCACCAGCTGCTACTCATCGACCTATTCAGCTGACTAGTACGAATGAAATGCATTCTACCACCAGCTATCAGTTGGAGGAAGTTATCCGAAATGATAATGCGTATTGAAGTAATGAAAAAGATGAATGAAATGATGACGTAATGACGTAATGGAAAAGGCTAACAGGAGCGAATACAGGACCAGAAAACGTGGATTGGGAGAAGGAAATGAGAGTGGAAACCATCTTGCAGGACTCCTAACTGCAACACGCTTTTTTCAAGAAAACTTGTTGTCCCAGAACAACTAAACCAGCCGCTGAATATGGGAGCCACCCAACGGCATAACTCATTGGGAGATCGACCATGTTGTGATAAACAGAAGATCGTGCCTATTGGAGCATAAGTAGTCCTATTGTAGTGAGTCGGATCAGCGCCTCTTCACGCGAAGTTTCGATTCAGCCGTAAGCTGGAAAAGAATTCATGTCCATGACCATGAGGAAAAAGTTTAGCTGTAAATAGAGGAAACATTGTGAACGAAATCTTATCCAAACACGAATGGCATATTTAATAAGACCCGACCGAGAACTGTGAGCTACTTGTCTAAGGACTTAGAAATTCTGCCGAATTCGCCTCCGTTCCTTAAGCAGGATGATCAGACCGCATCTCCATCACCACTACCGGGTTGCTCGACAGGAAAACGAAACTGAAGTTTGATCCTACTGCAATATGCCTAACACGACTGGTTATAAATGGCAGTTGTAAAAGATCTTTGCAGGAAGATCTACATCGGTTCGGAGAAAGCACTGTTAGAAGCAACATAAGACTGAAAAAAGTGCAATCGGGACTTTTGCCAGCATAACGTTCCGTTTTCAGCCCTGATGAACGATCACTAAAGCTTCTCGCGAAGACGGAATTAACAATGACGAAGACGAACATTTTCCACACCATGACCTCGTCCCATACCCTAAAACCCAGCTGGAGAAAGACCACCTTGAATTCTTTCGTCTGATGTTAGAGTTGCGAGTTGATGAAAAAAGCATAGCAACAGGACTCAATAATTTCACCGTCAACATCCTTAGAAGTGGAACCCACAGTTTACATGTGGTTCTCGCAAAACACAAGACACTCTACTTTCAAAATGAAAAAATCCCAGAGAAATGTAGGACGTCGCGCACGTCCATCCCACCCAAAGGAAGACGATCGAAGGAATCTTCGTGACTATCGTCCGATATGCTTCTTCAGTGTACTCTACAAGCTCTTCACCAAGATTGCCGTGTAACGGATATCAAGGACATTGGAAGAGGACATCAGGCAACCAGCTGAGCATACAGGATTTCGACAAAGATTTCGCTGAACGGATCGTATTCAAATCATGTCCAAAGTCACTGAAATTTATCGGGAATACCACCTGCTCGTAGTCCTCACTTCCGACCACGAAAAGGCGTTTGATACTGGTGAAACAAATGCAATCCTATAAGCATTCATCGACAAAGGAGTTGACCTGTTCTCCCTGACAACAGCACGTGACTGTTATCGGAACTGCGCTATGAAAATACAGCTTCGTTATCAGCCTCTTACCATAAGCATAGAAAAAAGGTGTTCGACAAGATGACACCATATCATCAAAGCTGTTTAGTGCAGCACTATGGATAATGAAGTTACTCCATTACTATGAAAAAGGCATATTAATTGATGGAAAATTCCTATCAAATCCTCGTTTTGCCGACGACATCGTCATCTTCTCAAAGTACTAACGGAGCAGAGACGAGCAATGAGTTCAAAGAAGCGAAAAAAATGGTTGTCTGACTACACAGACCACCTCGTATTTATACCTTAAGCATTGAGTGAACATAGAGTACACCATCTAGAAGACGGTGAGCAGCATGAGCTGCATTTGGACCTCTCAAAGAATCCAGCAACCAGCTAAAGGATACGAAAATCTGCGCTCATCTTTCCGACTCAACAGCACTCCAATACAGCGCACTACTCACAGAGTGTCAAATTAACCTATCCGACAGCGGCTACATAACGTAGTGGTACCGAAAGCCTAGTAATAAAAACACACTGGTTCGTTACCTCACCTCTCAGCCCTCAGAAGTAAAAACGGCGCTTGTAAGAAACATGTTCCGAATAGCAACCAGGATACGCACAAGGAGAGAGCAAGGGAGTCCCAAGACTTAGCACGACAAAGCGCCATCTCTAAAAGTGTGGAGGAAAACCCAAGACCCCAAACAACAACTCCAGCGATAATAATGTCCCTTTCATCCCGCTTTTCAATGCAGTTACAAAACGTTGCTTAAGTAGGGCTGGTCTAGAGAATTCGGTAACACTAACCGAAATGACAAAGAGCACTCTAAGACGCCAGCTAATAACCGCTTGTATGACTGTCTATGTACAACGCAAAATTGCATAAATTGCCCTAACGGTAGAGTTCGGGTAAGGTGTACCTAATCTATTGTAAAGCGTGTGGAGACGAATACTTTGGCAAAACGGGTAAAACGCTCTGCGTCGGTGTAAAAGGACATCTAGTTAGTAAGGTTAAAACTAGAACAAGTAATCCACTAGGCGTGCAAAGGACACAGAGACATAACGGGGAAAATTTTGAAGTAGAAGTTACGACCCTCGCATAGGGATCGAAAACACAAGCACGCAAAACTCTTGAGGCATTGAGGCTTGAGCTTGAGGCATAGATTAATTCCAAGGATCCAAAGGTGAACGGCAGGGAGGAATATCTCATAGTCACGCGAGAAATTCAGTAGTATCTAAACCTGTTTTTCTAATGTAAGGAGCACATTACGATTCCATTTGAATTCTGTGCGGTTGGTCTCCACGTGACATATTCAGTGAAAGACTGATAGAAAGTGGTGAGTGTACAAAGAAACTATTCTGTGTCTAATGTGATTGAAATCTTGGTTTAACGTTTTCTCCGTTTGGTTATATAGGTGTTTGGCCAGGTATATTGCAGTCAACTTGACCTTTCCAGGCTCTGAGGAACGCGAAATTCGCTGAAACGTCAGCTTGTTCGGAAATAGAGGGACAAAATAACACCTCGTGTTTGCTCAACAAGAATATGAAGAATTGTTTGATCAGTACTGAGGTTAATAGAAAGTTAGCCGTGGGTATAACTCGCACATACCATATTTAGCCGAAGTGTGGAGCTCTGATTTTCGGAACTTCTCTCATCTTCGGGATTCAGGAGAATATATATAGATAGCGAAACATAGATGAGTGGTTCACATAACGAGAAAAAAATTAATGATGGACGAAAAGCACTATAGAGTGGACTCCGCAAGCATGCAAGAGACCCCAAAGACGACCACCTACTTACACGATGGGTGGACGTGTTCGCAGAAAGCCATCCGCAGCCGCAGATGAAAACAATTTGTGGATCACGTAATATGCCCTGCTGACGCCACTATGTTCGAAGTAGACCTCCATCATGGACGAGGGTTGCGACACAAAGAAACAAATGAAAATGTGCTGGGGTCCGCACAACTCGTGAAGACGGACTGTCCAGATATCCAAGGAAGTAATATGAAGTGACTTCACGGTGTTTAAAAAAAAAAGGCTCTTAAGGTAAGATAATCGTCCAAGTTCTTCCATGAATCCCAACTTGCTATTGATGAACAGACCAGAAACGTGCTTTCGAATAAAAAACTCGCAGGTGTTTCGTAATGTTTCGTACTGAAGATTAAAGTTTCCATGATCAACAAAGTAATCAGTACCCTACAGGATTTCTTGAACAGCGTTTGAACATGATAATCGAAACCAACTCACAAAAACTGCTCGAGAAGTTACAGGAGAACAACAACGTTAGCTATTTAACAATAAGACACCAGCAAATGAAAAAGGTCGAGAGATGGGAGCCAAGCGAATTGAATGATTATTTTAAAAAATGTAGACATTGCTCTGCACTTCCATGCAGCGAAAGATGACCCAATTGTCGACCTCATGACATGAAAAGGAGCGAATCCTGCACGACAACCGATTCACGTTTACCGCAGCATTTAAAACAAGAGAAAGCTTTCAAACAACCCAAAACCGAACGCTTGCTGTTTTAAGGTAGGACAAGTCTGAATTCCATTGAAACCATTACAGCAAAGAACTGTTGCGACGAAAATGATGGATTGCATTAAAGTCTGGAGCGCATTTACACAACAGTGGTCAACAAACTGTCAAACCGTATTGTATGACAACACCTGAACACAAATTATACAACCTAATAAAAGTTGCAGACGATGAAAAAATTAGGTTATGAAACTCTTCATCCATCATACTAGATCCTGATTAATGAAGTTGTAGGCAATTTACTGCTTCTTTAATGAGCATAAACGAAGTTTTTGTTATACTACCCATTCACAGCTCTTATAGGCTAGAAAGGTCAAGTTGACTGCAGTCTAGTTAGCCAAATGCTTCCGTAATCTCAACAGAAAAACCCGACACCTAAATTTCAATCGCGTTGGGAACTAGCTTCTTCAGACACCGTTTTCTATTAGTGTTCCACTTAATCTTGTTATTGATGGAAAGCAACAGATAAATTTTGTAGATGGGTAATGCTTACTTCCTACTTCTTGTATACTTATGCATCCTTCAATCTACGCTGAAGTATTCCAAATTTACACCTCTAGCACTAATTCAAAAATACTTTAACATATAGTACTGCTTTTTCTAAGACAAACGATGCAAGTGGTGATTCGGAATCAGCCATTATTCTTACAACTTAGGGAATATAATGGGTTGCTTCAAGATCAGTGATGTAACTGAAGAATTTTTTCTTTTTGACGAATAATTTATACAATAGATACCTCACCGTAAAGATGACGGCGAAAATGACTATCAGAAAAATTTACAAAGCACATGTCAAGATGCAAAAGACTTATGAACCAAGGAAAGCGCTAAAACTAAGCTGGGAGTTGTAAATCGTGCAATCCAAGGTGTTTCCCGAAAGGCTAAAAATAACGGGGGAAGCCCAAAGGCAGCTAAAAGAAAGCGACTGCTTGAGAAAACAACTATAGCAGGTAATAACTGACTTGCACAAAAAACTTACTGATACTGCACACCACAAGGCAAGTAGTAACTAGAAAGCTTGCTATTTTAGTTTCTAGTTTGAACTGTCATCTGAACTAGAACTAAGTAAAGTGAATAGAATATTCAACACCTATATCCAAGCAGTGTGCGTTACAGATTACGACAACAATCGTCCAAAAAACTTGTAAAATAAAGTACAAAGACAATATGGCACAGACCTTGTACGTAGTTGGGCATGTGGAATCGGCATATTTTGCATAAGTTCGAATTTATCGCTGCCCATGAGATATTTGGTACGCTCCATATGATCAACATGAGTACGGAGCAAAGCGTTATACCTAACGTTTAAAAAACACTTTTACATCAATAGAAACCTATTCCACAGACCGCACAACATTAACAAAAAACAACCTCTCATGCAGACGATCGAACTCAGCCTTCTGATCAGCCTCTCGTTCTTCCAACCTACTCGCTAAAAAGACAAAAGTCACTTGATTGAAAGTGAATTCGAACTTATAGACAATTCCTATCTAGCGATTAGTAACGTCATAACAAACAATGCCTTTCCCATCTACAAACTATTCGACTTTTATTCTTATTGTCATATAAAGCGTGGTTTGACACATTCGCGACCACATGCATTGGATCCAATGCATATGTGACGGAAGTTCGGACCGTATACGTGGCTTTCAATGCGCTTAATGCTGACTATTCGTTTTGTCATGCAGAACTCTTTTATTACACTTTTTGCATTCAAATGACATCATCTTCTGTAGAGCTGTCGCGTGCGAGATATTCGAGAGATGCCATATTCCAAACCTATTAATTTAAAATAAAAGAAGCCTTATATTAAGCTGTTTGGAAATTAATACAGGATTGCTAATTCTACTTTCCCCGTGTATGTTTTTGTGGCAAAGACTGTATTTTTTGGAATGTTCACATGTTAGAAATTGACAGAACGAAGCAGCAATTTGAACAAATCTATTTCTACGGATTCAAACATGGATTTGGTCCAGAGCGAACCGCTCGAAGCATTAATAAAGTATGGAACCAGGGAAGAGTAAATCAATGCACTGTGCGATGTCGGTTTCAAAAATTTTGTCGTGGCGAATTCGACGTTGAAGATAAAGGAACTCTCGTATATCCTTATGCTATTGATAACGATGAATTGAAGGCTTTGTTGTAAACAAACGCATGCACAACTCCTCCAGAACTTGCAAAAAAAACTCTCTAACAGGACCTCAATTTTTTCGGAACATCTAAAGAAAGCCGGAAAGTCAGAAATCGAAAAATAGGTGCAGCACGAATTAAATGATCACCACATAAATCAGTTTTGCGTATCACTGGCGCTTCTGCACCACGATGTCGTGCTGACCATTTGGTAGTCTGCACCTGGTTTTATCCATCACAGTTTCCCGAATCGGGATGAAAAAACTATGCCGATGAAATTCATTAAACCAATCGACGATGTATAACAGAAATTTCGACGTCTCAACAAGGGATTGGTCAACAAAAAGGATCGATTGTTGTCCACTATAAAGCGTGAATACAAGTCGCACTAACAACGCTGCAAAAATTGAATAAGCTGGACTACAAAACCCTGAATTCTTCCTGAAATCGTATATTAAGCACCTAATTTATTCGACCCGACATGACATAATGCGCAGGCCCCAGCACTCTTTCATAGTGTTCGCATCCTTCTTCCATCTATTATCCACGAATGTCTTCCTATCTTGTGTTTGTATTCCGTTGCTCATTAAGGATTTCCGTTCTCTTCATGAATGTCTTAAAACTTTCTCTTTTCCCTAAACCTTTATCACAGGTCGTCGCAAGCATCCGTGGATTTCCCTGCAGCCACAAACAAGACTGGCACCAGTCCACGGACCCTGAATGGATGGAAGCTTGGTTGCTCAAGTGCAAAGTCGAACAATGGTCAATTTGCAGGACTATGACGTAATCCTAAGAAATTTCTACTAAAATTTTTTTAAAAAAAGTCTTCTGCAGGTACTAATAGACAGGCAAAACGTTTGTGAAATAATCTTAAAAGAAAGAATTATTTCCCTTGCTTGTTCTTCTGTACCCGTAAAATCCACTGTGGCATTACGTTCCTGTGATTCAGCAGCAGTAACTACAAATTCGCTTATCACAATAAAGCGATAAGATGCGTTGCACTCCGGAACTCGTCGAAGTTGCAAATCAACATTCGAGCTTGTCAATACACAATGCGCAAAATGTATTGCATGAGATACAAATATTTTACGGCAAAGTGGACGGCCCGCGTTGTATCCTGGTAGGTCTTTTTCAGCGTTTCATGTCATTCCACATAGCTCTTTTATCGCAGTTTTGTGCTGACTCGATTGCTTATCCAAAAGGGATCTCACGCTAGGAGTCCCATGTGGAAAACCGCTCCTGCAGCATAATTATTTACAAAAGAAAATCTTTTCCACCGAGTTTATTGACGGAAATCCGACTAGTAATCACCAACTACTTTCCCGCCAATACGATGAATCAAGCCCATTGTATGGAACGAGGAGATATAGAAAATACAAAAGTAGACTCGACATAAGCTATGAAACTCTTCCAAATGTTGACAGTAGTGTGCCTAGGATGTGGACCATTGTGAAACAAAATAGATAATATCACATATGTCATTCAAAACCTACAGCTACAGAGCAAAACTCCATAACTCTATGATCTTCTCAAATCCTCAAACCCTCTAGTTGTCGAAAAATCATCGTCTATTGTTAAGAACCAGAAACTCTGTCACTGCTGAAAACAAGGCGTCGTTGTACGCCCTAACCAAACAAAATTAGGGGTTAGGAATTACGTGCTAACTATTCTCGCCCATATACTGGAACACTCAAATATGGAACGATGATAAAGTTATGGAGGGCAACAGCAACCACTTCTTAAAGAAAATTTTAAATAACACTGTAATTCCTGAAGTACTCGACAAGCTTATTGCTAGTTTATACCTTTGCTTTTGATGAAATATGGATGAAAAAACGCATAAGTCAAGTGTGGACACTCATGCGAAAACATAGGTATAACAGCGATTATGCCGAAAACTCAAAAAAAAAAAAAAACAAACCGTGATCAGATGCATTCTTTGCTTTAAGTTCTAACATTCTCATGATTGACTCCAGAGATTCAATTTTCCCTTCCAACTCCTTATTCTGACCAAGAAGAGTGTCTTCAATCTCCATATACTTCTAGAGATAAGAAGGATAAAAACAACAGTGCAACAGTTAGCAAAAAGGAACACTCTCCACAAAAAAAGGCACTGTTCCTGCAAAGAATTCATAACTACCTGCTCTGCTTGCTTTCTTAGCTGTTTCTCTCTCTCATACTGAGTGACAAGTTGTTCATTGTCCTCCTTGAGCATTTCTTGATCGACGGCCTGCTCTTCACGCTCCAAAAACGCTAGATCTAATGCCTCAAGTACGTTAACGACTAATGGCATCAACGTCTGAAATCACAGGGGCACTTCAGAAAAGTCATACGCAACTTTTAAAAAGAAATGTGTTAGTCACCTTGACCCCATCTTCACCGTGTTTTTGAATCATCAGCTCGAATTCACGATAAATCGCCGATGCCATATTTTGCACCTTTTCGGACATATTACGATGTTCGTCACCCGTTGGTGAAACAGTCCCACCATACACTATCTGTGAGCATGTTTACACCAGATTAATAAAATGTAGAACATAGAGCACTTGAAGTAACAACTCAGCAACTTAGCAGTTTAAAAGCAAGAGAGATATTCCTCGAGCAATTTAATGAATATCAATGTAACTCATGCCATAGTGAAAGAGCAACTCATCCTCCCAACGGTTTACCGCCTCGTTGTGGCTGGGAGGTGTTACTGGGTGTCGAAATGCGATGCACATCGAGGAAATTCATCCCCCAGCAGGGTCTCCCAAGATAAGGAGTCCGGCGTTTCTATCAGGAAGCCCAGCTAAGCATAAACCAATACCGGATTTCACCACCGTCCTAGTATCAAACTGGTCGCATGGTGGCAAAACTCCCTCTGCTCCAGAAGGAGCTGCGACTGCCTGCGGTGGTGACGGCCTAGAGAAGATTTTGGCCAGGTTGTCCTCAGCACTCCAGAGAACCACAATGGCTAAACCAGCAAAACTACGAAAAAATGGAAAATATGCTTGAGGCCTACAAAACCAGTGAAGACGGGCCATCCAAGTATCCAAGTAAGTAAGTAATGTAACTCATACAAAGTGACAACACGTCTTTCCAGAAACAAGGGAGCACCGTCAACCGTTCATTTGTAAATTATATCAACATGTCAAGACATTCGTTGGAAAATGTCGACACGACAATCGCTCAACAATGTGGTTAGAAAGATTACCCCCTGACTGCTGGAAGATGTGTAGCCCAGTTTTCATATTTTGCGCTCATCTAACTAAATTTCTCAATCTTACCACTTAATTTTTAAACATCGACTCCTCTTCTATAAAACACCACATAATCGAACAAGATACGATCGACGTTACTCATTCTTGAAAGCTAACTTCTTACGAGAACATTGAAAATCGACAAATCGATAATATGAGACAAAGATAGCTCACCTCGGTTGGTGATCCGCTCGCAGTCGACTCCTGCATTTCATTCATAGTGTTGAGTGTGATCGCAGTAAAGACGTTAGTAATTATTGATACCTATGATAAGTCTCCTCTAGCATCTGAAAATTAAGGTCGTAAACTCTAAGGAATACTTAAAAATGATGGAATAGAAGGCTTGTGATGGAGAAATGGTAGTAGCTGATGTGATGGCATGAACAATGCGTGCCCCACTGGTTAAGCTACTCGTCTGAAATCGATATGCACACATGACGCAACGACTGTACGGTGAGATCTCGTCCGTAGTGTATGCGTCTGTGTACACCATAAGTGTTACTATGTATATACATATACATATATATATACTCTTATATACACTTATATATACTCATATACATACATATATATCCGTTCCGTAGACTGCAACTAATAACTAGTTGAATCCATCTCCGAAAACCGAGTTTCATTTAACTTCGTCGTAAGTAATCAATATCTTCTTGGAATCGACTAGCTGATAAATTTCACTTCACTGGAAAGTCTCCTATCGACAGTGAGGACAATCCGTTGGATTCTTGTGTATTAGCACTCGAATCTGAGTAAATAATATCATCATTGTATATTGTATTCCTTTTCGCGATTTCTCAAAAAATCAATATCTAGAGTGGCTGTATCTTTTAAAGTAAATTTTGCTATTATTATTATTATTATTATTATTATTATTAGTCATGTTGCTATCATCTGTTATATGCCCGACTTCATAGTACTTTAAGCTTGTGTTGTACATTGAGGGATTAGGTCAGAGTTTTCCTTAACGGCCCAAACATTCTGGAACTCCAGGTCCATTGCCCAGATCTAGGAGTTTAAGAAAAACTAAGGATTGACTGCGATTTTAGTTTATTTATTCTTGTCTTGACCCATCTATATGCTTTATGCAATTTTCGCCTATTCACTTGAGGTTTTTAAGTCATTCACGATCAAACAGTTTGAGGCTCCACACGACGGCGAGCATGATTTGCCTTCAATTTTCCCTGGTAGCTTATTTGTGTCCACGGAAGTTTCTTTCCAACCTTTTTGCAATCATTTGATACCCTATGTCCGACAGAGACCATTGTGCTTGACGTCGGACCTGAGAAGCTGTTTCCTTCAGCCAATACAACCACACTCCCAACGGTTTACCGCCTGATCCTGGTTGGGAGGTGTTCCTGGGTGTCGGACTGCGATGTACAGCGGGAGGATTCGTCCTCCCGGCAGGATCTCCCAAGCTGAGAAGGATTCTAGCATTTCCATCAAGAAACCTAGTTAAGAGTAAACCAATACCAATACCAGGATCCACCACCGTTTTGGCATCAAAGTCGCATGGTGCAAATTTCCCTCTGATCCACAGGGGCTGCGACTGCCTGTGGTGGTGAAGACCTGTGGAAGACTTTGGCCAGGTTGTCCTCGGGATTCCAGGGAACTACAATGGCTTAACTAGCAAATCTCTGAAAAATAGTGTTTATGCTCAGGCCCGCACAACTAGTGAGGACGGGCCGTTTAAGTATCAAGTAAGTATGTAATACGACCACAATATTGTTGAGATATTTGCAAAACTCCCTAGCACAGGTTTCTGCGGTGGGGAACGTAGGCGCTATTGTCCTTTACTTTCGCTTAATACCCTGCCATAGTAACTATAGAAGGCAGAAAATAAAAAGTAAACATTGTGACTTCAGCTAATAGTTTATAAAAGATCTGTTTTACGAGAACGCTGTTTCTGGTGAGGTGGATACAGAGGTGACTCATCCCTTATTCTCATAACTTCCCATTGATGTTGTAAACAAGGTGCTTAAATATTTTCTTATCTTTTCTTTTACATGACCCGTCTCTCACGTCGACTGTGCGACTGCTAGCATTTCTCGCATTCAGTTCGTTTCCTCGCATCCATCATCCACTAAAGCCTTCCAGCTTTCCACTTGTCACCTCGCTGCCGCTTGAGAATTTGCCTATCGCCTTGAATGTCGTTGAATGCCGGTCAAATTGATTTTCCCTGGAGTCTTAAGGTAGCCAGGCTAGAATGTTCCCACTTGGATTGCACAGAGTGATTTTTTCCCAGACGAGACTGGTGCCAATTTCCCGACCCCGGAGGCATGGTAAGCTCAGAGCGGGATCGAATCAGCATCGTGCTCATGATTATCGACATCTGTACCACTGTGCTACCCGCCCCTTACCTGTTTAAATAACGTTGTATTACACTGAATGAACCTCGAAAACGGTCAGAATGTTCGAAACTAACATAGTATGGACTACGGTTGCACGAGTGAGACAAGCGAGAGTGGAAGCTGCTGCCTACACCACTCACGAGGGTAGGCCATTGAGGATACAAGTATAAAAGCCAAAAAAAATTTTTTAGACAATGTGTGGTCGATTAGATGAGTGGGAGGTCGTTGATGGACCGAGTAGTGTGACTTTTCTCGTACACTCATTCGAATAAAAAAGCTAAGACAAAGGTTTTTATCCCATTCGTGGTGGTATGGACAGTATATCAATCCATACATGGCGGCTCAACTGGACAGTATGGACGCTATCTTGTCTATTTTCAGTTCTATGCGTTACGGAACTTGTACCGCATTTTATTCTTTCGATAGCTAATCGAGAGGACATCAAAATAAGAGGTGTGAGGCTAGAAAAGCCATCTCATGTGCTTTATGTTCTACCGAAAACCCTCTTAAAGAGTTCATTGGCTTATTTGTTTGTTTTGTCTATTGAATAGAATTTACGGACACATAAATACCGAAGTAGACTCATCATAAGCCGCAGAATACTTCCGAATGCCGACACCTGTATGTTTTCATGATGGATCGTAGTAACACTAGTAAATAGCAGCGTACACATCATTCATACCTACAGAATATTAGAGAAGTGTCTCTTCTGCAACATTATCGTCTTCACAGCCCCTGAATTGCTCTAGTTATCGAAAAGTTGTTTTTTATTGTGAAAAAGTGCGGCGCTATCGCGAGTGGTTATATATATGTATATGTACATATATATACATATATACATGTATACATACATGTATACATACATGTACATATATGCATACATATCATACATATGTACATGTATACATATATATACATGCGTACATATATATGTATTCATATATATATATATATATATATATATATATAATATACAATCCACTTTTTAGGCGAGCAAACACGGGGTTATTACTACGGCATTTATTTATTTACAATAGCTGACGTTTCGGTGGGTTTTGCCATTCTTGGAGCCTGGAAAGGACAAGTTAGCAGCAATCCAGTCGGCGAAAACATTTTTATAACTTCAACAGATAAATCTTAATAAACAAATTATCATTCGCATAATAGACAGCTTCTAGACTCTCACCGTTTTCGAACCCACAGTTACCATAACCGCGGACTGTCCATCACATCAACTGAGGGTCTTGCTTCGCCTTTCTCTCAGCCATGTTTTTCCTCTTTCTATACTAGCAGCAATCACGCATCAACGCGAATGGTTTGGCAAGCACTATATATATATATATATATATATATATATATGTATATATATATATATATGTTTATATATATTTATATAATGCATATGCATGTATATATGTATATATACATATATATGCATATATACTATCGAAAAATATATAGCCAATTTAATAGGTTGTAGACCATAACTCTCCTAAAGATTTAGCGCCTCATCGTGGCTGAGAGGTGTTCCTAGGTGTCGGACTGCGATGTGTTGGAGGGTAATTCCTCCCTACAGCAGGGTCTCTCAAGCTGAGGACTATAAGACGTTTCCATCCGGAAGTTCAGCTAAGAGTGGCGGGAATCACCACCGTCCTGGCATCAAATTAGTCACATAGTAGCAAATTCCCCTCTGATTCAGAAGAGCGGCGACTGTTTGGGGTGGTGACGGCCTAAGCAACGCTTCGGTTAGGCTGAGTTTGAGACTTCAGGGAACCACAGTCGCTAAATCAGCTAATCTCCAGTCTCATTGGCCTGCACACACAGCGTCCCTGTGTACGATTTCAGGCGGTAAGGCAACCGGTGAGAGACGATCAAATTTCGGTTTGGATAGGACGTCACTGGAAATGGACAAAACAAGGACGCTCACGATGCGCCATGGAAACAGCTTTTTGCTCCGCACCTATAACAGCAGGTGCCTCTTCGGACATCGGCCTTCATGCCCTTTTTGGGGCCGCTGGTCGTATCAAATTCCACGTGATCGCCCTAATAGAGACGAAAACCAGAGAGATCGAAATTCTCTAGTTAGATGACGGAACCTTTATCATTCGTAAATTGAAATATCCGTTGCCAAATGTGGGAGACGTCGGCATTTCGTACATCCATCTATTTCCCCAACTAGGCACATCACACAAAATCCTATCAGGGCGCTTGGCCATTCTTTGTGTCCAACATCAGTGTTAAAAGAAAGTATCATCAATTGTTACTTACCAAATTGTACAGCCAACGCAAGCGAACTGGGTGTGTTCTAACCATGGGGAAGAAGTAGTCCACAATGAGAAGCCCATACATAAATTCATTGTTGGAGACTTCAGTGCTAGACTAGGAACGCCCAAGGAATATGAATACAGGTTAGGGAAATTTGGAATAAGAGAACGAAATGGGAATGGGAACCGTCTTGTAGGACTTCTGTCCGCAGTATGTCTCTTCCATGGGAATCCATTCTTCGAGAAGAGAGAAGTTCTCAGTTGGATATGGGACCCTCCTAGCACGACTCATCTGGAGGTGGATCATATTTTCGCAAGCAGCAAGTTGTCCCTCTTTGACACCTCAGTGGTATCTGGATTCCGTACTGGATATGAGCACCGCCTTCTTAGGGAGAAGATTCGATCCGGTTATAAACTAGAAAAGAACACCTGTTACTTTCCAAGAAAAAGGAAACAAATCGTGTACAACGAGGATATCCTTAATAATCTGTTCACATGACTGGCAAATAAATGAAGACTCGACCGAGAATTACACACTGCTTGTCGAAGGACTTAGAACTTCTGCCGAACATGCCTCAGTTCTTCAAACAAGTTTATACCATATCAGCATTATCAC